GCGGCCCTCGTGGCGGCCTGGGCTGGGCGAGGGGTGCGGCCTCCAAGCGGGGCTCATGAGTGCCGTCTCTGAAGCTCGGCCTGTGCCTGAGCATGCGGAGCCTGCCCTGGTACGTCCAGGCGAACCCCGACACCTTCTTCCCCCGCTGCTACGGCCTCTGCTCCGACAGTGAGAAGCGCGAGTTCCTGTGTGAGTGACTGGGCCCTCCCCTCGCTGGGCCACAGGCGGGCGGGGCAGGGCTGCCAGCGGGAGGCAGGTCAGCCCAGCTGGGCCCCCCACCACGTGGAGGGCCGGTGGTGGGGTGGGCAGGGAAGAGCCTCACCTGCCTATGCTGGCCTGCAGCCTCCTCCCACTCACAGATGGCCAGTGGCCACCACTGCAGAGCAGGCTGGGCCTGGCCCGGGGCCCAGCACTGGCAGCTGTGTTCTGCCCTCTGCACTGGGCGTGGCAAGCAGACCCCCACCACTCGCCATGTTCAGGGGGTCCACAGAGGCTCTCTGAGATGGGGCTGGTGGGCGGCAGACCCCAGAGAAGCCTGCCTCTGGTGCAGCGCTCAGCCAGCCTGAGGCCAAAGCCCTCCTGGCCAGGAGGGGGCAGGGACAGCAGCCCTGGGGAAGGGGAGCTTCAGGGAAGGGAATGCGGGAATGCCAGGCCCACAGGCAGGGGCATGACTAGACTCTGGTCCAGACAGTGCGGGGAGAGCACTGGATGGCTGGATGGGGGAGCCCCTGGGCGGGCATGCCCGGAGCCTGAGGCCCAGCACAGCGGGGGCAGGCCGTGTGTCCTTTCAGACGACTTCCGGCGCACCGCAGCGTCCAGCATCCTCAAGTGGGTGGTCAACCACCAAAGCGCCAATCGGAGCAAGGCCAAGGGCAGGCGGGAGGAGGCCGGCAGCAGCGACCTCGGCCTTGGCAGCAAGAGAGGTGCCTGGGGAAACAGGACTGGCTGGCAGGGCTGGCTGGGTGGGTGGGGGCCGGCTGTGACTTTCTCCCTTATGGTTTGGGTAGGTGTGGTCAACGAGACAGGGCAAGGTGGGGACTCCAGCTGGAGCAGTGAGAAGGTCTGGTCTGTCCCCAAGGCCCCAAGGGAAAAGAGCAGCCCGTCCTGCAGGGCCAGCAAGAGGGGTCCTGGGACCCACGCATTCCCCCGGGATGGAGAGCAGGAAGCCGAGGTCGTGGGGTCCCACAGCACTGCCTCCGGGCCTTCCTGAGGCCGGGTTGGCTGCTCAGAAGAGGCTCAGCTTGGTGCAGGATGGTGGGCTGTGCTCTTGGCGCCGAGCAGGGGCGAGGCGGTCCAGTGGTTCGGGCTTCAACATGAAACAGGAGCAGGACAGCCAAGGGCGCGGACCCAGGGTTGGAGCCAGGGCGCACTGGCCGCGCTCACCGAGTTCCAAACATCGACCCAGCCTGCGAGCCTGGTCTGAACCCCGCATGCCGTGTACAGGCTCACGCTTTCTACGTGTGGCATTTAATCTGCTAGTATTTTATTGAGGAATTCTGTATCTGTGTTCATGAGAGATATTGGTCTGTATGCCATTTTCTTATAATGTCTGGTTTTTGGATTAGACTGAGTTAATGAGTGTTCCCTCGGGGCGGCCTGTCCCTAGTGCTTACAGGGTGAATCCCCAATGACTGGAAAAACCAAGGGGCCTGTGTGTGTGCATGCCCCAGATCCCAACAGGACGGGGAATGCAGGGTGAAGGCTGTAGCGTGCCCGTGTCCCATCGGAAGGTGCTTCCCCTCACCTCCCCTTCCCCCTGACAAGCACACACACACCCTCTGGCAAATCTTTACAAATATAGGGACCAGCAGTTAGCGTAGCCACGGTTCGCGTCCCGCCGGGTGCGTGTGTGTGCGTGCCCAAGATCCCGAGAGGACGGAGGAGAAGGGATTGCGGCGTGGCCATTCCCCCTGGGGGGTGATTTCTCACTTTCTGTCTCTCTGTCTCTCTCTGTCTGTCTGGTGAGTGTACACGTCCTATACCAAAAACCTCTCAAAAAAAAAAATCTTTACAAATATATATATTTTAAAATGTGTCCCCCTACTTCTATATTCTGGAAGAGATTGTAAAAAACTGGTATGACTTCCTTCTTAAATGTTTGGTAGGACATGTCAGTAAACTCATTTGGGACAGGTACTTTCTTTTTTAAAAGAATATTAGCGATCGATTCAAGACCTTTAATAGATGCAGGACTGTTAAGAGTGTGTGGCTCGGTGCGAGTTTTGGCAGTCTGGCTTTTAAGGAGCCGGTCCTGTCAGTCTCGGTGCTCAAGCTCGTGCACAGAGCCGCTCATGGTGCTCCGCGGTCGGCCTCGCGTCGACGGGTGTGTGCGCCCGCCCCCTCCACTTCCCGAACCGAAGTTCTGTCTCCTTTCTCTAGCGATTTGACTATTGTTCTCTTCAAGGAATCAGCTTTTGTTTTCATTGATTTTCTCTATTGATTTACTATTTTCAGTTTTATTAATTTCTGCCCTCGTTGTAGTTATTTCTTTCCTCCCACGTAGTTTAGATTTGTTTTGCTTTTCTTTGCCTGCCTTTCTAAGGTGGAAGCTTTGATAGTTTATTTTAGCTCTTTTTCCTTTCTAATATATACATTTAAAATATGCTACAAATTTCCCTCTAAGCACTGTTTTTACTGTGTCCAACAGATTTTGATAAGTTTTGTTTTAATTTTCAATTATTTTATTATTCAATTATTTATTTCCAAATATTTTAAAATTTCTCTTGAGATTTCTTCTGTGAACTTTGTGCTGTTTAGAAGTATTTTTTTAAATGATTATTTTATTTAAATTCATTTATTTACTTATTTTGATATTGACCAAAGAGAGAAAGAGTGAGAGAGAGAAATCAAGCCACCAGGCCCAGGACTTGAAGCGTGATCGACCATGTGAGAGTCTAGCGCCCTTAACCACTATGCCACCTGTTGACCCTAAAGTATACTGTTTAGTCTCCAAGTGCTTTGCGATTTTCTAGATATCTTTCTCTAACTGATTTCTAGCTTAATTCCACTATAGTCTGAGAGTGTACATTGTATGGTTTCCATTTCTAAAAAATATATTCATATGTATTTTATGGCCCCATATAATGTGGTGTATTTTGGTAAATGTTTCATGGGAACTTGAGAAAAATGTGTATGCTACCATTTTTGGATGAACTGTTGTAAAACGTAAGGGGAACCAACAGATAGCGTCACTGTCAGGCCGGACTCCCACATGGCTGGACTCCCATATGGCCAACTGCAGTTCAAGTCCTGGACCTGGAGGCTTCAAAATTGTGCCAGGTATCCATGCATGCCCAAAATCCCAGGAGGAGAATGGAAGAGAAGTGACTGTGGTGCAGCCATCCCCCCCCTTCCCCCCGGGGTGATTTCTCACTTGGCCTCTCACTGTCTTTGTCTATCTCTCTAGCGAGAGCATGCACCCCAAGGCTCTCTTTTAAAAAACTGTGAATTATACACAGCAGACAGATGGTGCTGTTGAGCTAGGCTCTGTCCTCCTGGCTTTCTGCCAAACCCCAGTGCAGACAGGGTGCCGAACCCCCCACTAATGGCAGTGGGCTCACTGTACTTGTCCTTAGGGTTCTCTTGGCCTTTGCCTCTTGCATCTTGAAGTCCCGCGGTCAAGCGTATACATATCAAGGGTCAGTATGCCTTTCTGGGTAACGGGTCCCTTTTTCATTATTTATCCCTGCAATTTTCTCTTGCTCGGAAGTCTCTGAAATGACTGCCGTTTTATGTGGCTTGCCAGCAGGTGTGTCTTTCTCACCACTTTCGCTTTCATCTATATTTATCTTTATGCTTGAAGTGGGCTTCTTCTAGATAACGCAGCTCGGTCTTGCTTCAGTCCACTCTGACGATCCCTCCTAACTGGTTCACTTAGGCCATCGACATTCGAGAGGTCATGGATGCGGCTGAGTGGATGTCTACGTCGCCGTTGTTTCTGTTTATTGCTCCTGTTCTTTTTTCTTCTACTTTTTCTGCCTCTTGTGGAATTGCCCGCAGCAATTCATCAGTTCCCCGATGGCCTCCTCACCCAGCACTGGTCCCTGCCAGGTCCTGCTCGCCTACTGCAGTGGGGTGGCGCCTTCACGCCCTTCACAGGCTGACCAGAGCCCTGAACTGCAGCTGTCCACATTAAGGTGGCCAGTGCTGCGTTCTATGGGCTCCACCTCAATTAAAACACGTGGATGCCCGTGGCAGTCTCCGGCTCCCACGTAAAGCTGAGTGCCTTCTTCAGCACCGCCCCACTGGGTCTCCATCGTGGCCTCCTTGGTGTAGTTCCAGCCAGCACAGTGACCAGGTCTCCCTGCCCAGTCCATGGCTTCCAGGCAGCCCACCGCCTCCCCCTGGGTAGTCCCCCTCCACTCCCTGCGCTCTTGATGACAGTGTGGTTCTCAGCCCTCGCCCTCATTGAGGCTGGGAGACCACTCACCTTGTCCTTCCTCAGGCCCCCGCAGGTACCTGGAGGCCTGGGCTTGCAGGCGGGAGTGATGCTGTGGGAGGTCAGGTGCCCAGGGCCCACCGCAAAGGGCTGTGGTAACATGCTTGCCAGTGCCCAGGACAGTGGGCAGCTGCAGGACAGGCTCATTCACAAGATAGCTACTGAATGACACAAGAGGAGGTCTTCACAAAATCTGTGGAAAACTAATGGTGAAACGCTGCATAGATTTCAAAACTATTTCCCAACAAAATAAACTTGTACTTAATTCTAGTTTCCCATGAGTTTTTAAAATTCTGTCATAGTTTTTGGGAAAATTCATAAAAAGCACTGGTGCAGAACCAGCAGATGGCATAAAGGTTACGTCAGTGGACTCCCACATAGTTGACTGCAGTTCGAGTCCTGGACTGAGTGGCTTCAATTCAGGTTGGGCGCGTGTGTGTGCGTGCCCGAGATTCCAAGAGGAAAATGGAGGAGAAGGGATTGCGACATGGCCTTGCCCCCTGAGGGGTGATTTCTCGCTTTCTGTCTCTCTTTGTCTCTCTGGTGAGTGCACATGCCCTGTAGCAAAAATCTCTCTCTAAAAAATAAAGAAAGCACCGTTGTGTTGCTACTTGAGGAGCTAGAGCCTAGCTGCAAGGTGTGTGTGTCCGTTGGCGGTGTGCACAGCACAGTTGGGTGGGCAAGTCACCTTCCCAAGTTGGGCGTGGTATCCAGGTGGCTGTCTGAGGAGCCTTGCAGCATGGAGGGTGTGGGGCAGCCTCACTTTGGCACCTGCACCACTCCACCTGCTCCTTGGGGCAGGCAGGCCACATGCAGTGCAGCTCACGCTCCATACGCCTTGATGGGTTTCAGATCCCGAGGGCACTGAGGAGAAGCCGAGGGGCCTTTCAGAGCAGCTGGTGGACACAGCGTGCAAGGTATGCCAGGCCTACCTCAGGCAGTTGGAGCACGAGGACATCGACGTGCTGGGGGATACCTCTGAGGACCTCAGCGAGGCCGAGTGGAAGGACCTGATACAGCAGTACTACGCCCTGGTCCAGTAAGATGCCGGGCTCGCAGAGCCCCGGGAGGCAGTAGGGCTGCAGCATGGGTGCCCCGTGGGCCATGGCAGCCCCCAGGAGCTGCCAGAGCAGTCGGGACTCTGGGTGTTGGGGCACCTGCCTGGGTGTTGGGGCATCTGTCTGGGTGTTGGGGTGCCTGTCAGGATGTTGGGGTGTCTAGATTTTGGGGTGTCTAGATGCTGGGGTGTCTGGATGTTGGGGTATCTGTCAGGATGTTGGGGTGTCTAGATTTTGGGGTGTCTAGATGCTGGGGTGTCTGGATGTTGGGGTATCTGTCAGGATGTTGGGGTGTCTAGATTTTGGGGTGTCTAGATGCTGGGGTGTCTGGATGTTGGGGTATCTGTCAGGATGTTGGGGTGTCTAGATTTTGGGGTGTCTAGATGCTGGGGTGTCTGGATGTTGGGGTATCTGTCAGGATGTTGGGGTGTCTAGATTTTGGGGTGTCTAGATGCTGGGGTGTCTGGATGTTGGGGTATCTGTCAGGATGTTGGGGTGTCTAGATTTTGGGGTGTCTAGATGCTGGGGTGTCTGGATGTTGGGGTATCTGTCAGGATGTTGGGGTGTCTAGATTTTGGGGTGTCTAGATGCTGGGGTGTCTGGATGTTGGGGTATCTGTCAGGATGTTGGGGTGTCTAGATTTTGGGGTGTCTAGATGCTGGGGTGTCTGGATGTTGGGGTATCTGTCAGGATGTTGGGGTGTCAGATTGTTGGGGTGTCTGGCTGTTGTGCTCTCCCCCCACCTCATGTGTATACACATGCTCTCCATCATGAATAAAGAGAAATGAACTTTGGGACCAGCAGATGGCATAATGGTTACGTTGCTGGACTCCCAAGTAGTCAACCATGGCTTGAGTCCCCAACCCGGTGGCTTAAAACTCACACAGAGCACATGTGTGTCCGTGCCCAAGATCCCAAGAGGAGAATGGAGAAGGATTGTGGCATGGCCATCTCCTCAGGGGGTGATTTCTCAGTTTCTATCTGTCTCTCTGGTGAGCGCACATGCCCCACAGCAAAAATTCCTTCAAAAAACCCTTAAAATTTAAAAAATAATAAAATGAAATACAGATAATCACTATCTGCAGGTGGTGTGGTGGTTAGAGTGCTGGACTTCCACATGGCCAACCTGGCAGCTTGCTTTCTCATGTTCCCTCTCTCTCTGTCCCTCTCTGGTGAGCACATGTGCCCTGTACCAAATTTAAAAATAATAATAATGGGAGGGGGCCAGCAGATGGCATGGAGGTTAAGGACGCTGGACTCCCACATGGCCTACCACGGTTCCAGTCCCCGACTTGGTGGCTTTCTCTCTCTCTCTCTCCCTCTCACTCTGTCCCTCTCTGGTCAATTTTAAAATAAATACATAAATAAAGTTAAATTAAGTAATCCTTTTAAATAATCATAATAATAATGGGGACAGCAGATGGTGTAACAGTCATGTTGCTGAACTCCCACATTGTTGACTATGGTTCAAGCCCCGGACCTGGTGACTTAAAACTCACTGGAGGGCCTTCCAGCCCAACACCCAAGCAAGAATCCATTTTCATCTGAGGCAGGCCTGGCCCTGCTCCATTAACTGAAGAGCTTTTGCTTGAAACCTCTCTTTCCAACCCAACACACAAGAGAAAGTTCAACTTTCATTGAACTGCTACAGAAAGCGAGAAACTCCTCTTCATAAATCTGAATTCACATCTCTTTCCGTGAATACCACAGTACAAACACAGTAGTAGAGGAGAAACTGGCATAGGAGTACCTCACAGTAAAGTGAAGCACACGAGCTTACAGCTGCAAAAACTGCCAATACACCACCAAATGACTAAAAATCAGAAGAGAGCCTGCGAAGTGAGCAGCAGGGAGAAGTACGGAGCTGCAGAGTGAGGCTCATCTCCTCCCTCACCCCTCGATTCTCTGTCGAAACCCCGCAGCTCAGCCCAGGTGCATCTGTTGCTAAGAAACTGAGAGACCCCCAGGTGGTATGAAAGTAGACGATAGGTAAATGCATGTGTATGACTGATTCAATAAATCTTTATTTGTAAAAAGAAAAAGAAAAAAGAAAGAAACTGGGAGGCCTTTGTAATATACAGTTCCATTAACAAAAGTGTAGTCAGCTTGGTGACATCAGGGAAACGGAACTGCAGAGACATTGTGGGTCATCTCCTCCCGCACACCTCTAATGCTCAGAATTACCTCCGCAAAAGTAGGAAGAGATGTATAATCCATGAGAAGACCAGAAACCACCTCAGAGGCACAAGAAATATGATAAATCAAGAAACGCTCTCCCAAGGGAAAAGAATAGCCCTTCATCATCCACAGATAGTACAATGGAACTCGTGGAAATGTCAAATAAAGAATTTAGAATATTCATAGTGACAAAGCTAACAGAGATGCAAGAGAAGAGAGACAATGAACTCCAGAAGACACAGGAGAAAAGAGATAATGAGTTCCAGGAGGTGAGGAAGTTCTTACATGATCTGAAAGAGGAAATACACACCATCAGAATCAAACATCCACAGATAGTACAATGGAACTCGTGGAAATGTCAAATAAAGAATTTAGAATATTCATAGTGACAAAGCTAACAGAGATGCAAGAGAAGAGAGACAATGAACTCCAGAAGACACAGGAGAAAAGAGATAATGAGTTCCAGGAGGTGAGGAAGTTCTTACATGATCTGAAAGAGGAAATACACACCATCAGAATCAAACGGAACTGTTAAAGATGAAGGCTATATAATACAGGAAATCGAAACCTCCCTTGAAAGTATTAAAAGCAGATTAGATCTTGCAAAAGATCGAATCTCAGATGTAGAAAACAGAACCTCTGACCTAGAAAAGTTCACCAAAAAGACTGAGGAAATACGGGACCAGCAGTTAGTGTAATGGCTATGTTGCTGGACTCCCATGTAGCCGACCGGGGTTCGAATCCCGGACCCGTTGGCTTAAACTCATGCCGGGTGCATGTACGCACATGCCCAAGATCCCAAGAGGAGAATGAAGGAGAAGGAATTTTGGCGTGGCCATCCCCCCGGGGGGTGATTTCTCGCTTTCTATCTCTCTGTCTCTCTCTCTCTGTCTGTCTGACGAGTGCACATGCCCTATAGCAAAAACCTCTCCAAAAAAAAAAAGACTGAGAAAATAACCCTCCAAATGAGAAAAACATACAAGTAATACTAGATGCCATTAGATGCCCAAACATCTGGATAATATGTATCCCAGAAGGTGAAGAAACTAATAAGGACTTTGATAATCTATTCCATGAAGTCCTGGAAGAAAACTTTCCAAACCTAGAGAGACATTCAAATATCCAGACCCAGGACCTGCAGATGGTGTACTGGCAACATCGCTAGACTCCCATTTAGTCAACTGTGGTTCGAGTCCCAGACCTGGTGGTTTAAACTCATGCTGGGCACATGTGCGTGCATGCCCAAGATCCCAAGAGGAGAATGAAGGAGAAGGAATTGCGGCATGGCCATCCCCCCTGAGGGATGATTTTTCGCTTTCTGGCTCTCTATCTCTCTCTGTCTTTCTGGCAAGGGCACGTGTCCTATAGCAAAACCTCTCCAAAATAAACAAACAAGAAAACAAATAATCCAGATCCAAGAAATACAAAGGACCCCACACAGAATCAACCCAAGAAGATCTTCTCCAAGGTACACATAGCCAGATTGACCAAAACCACAAACAGAGACAAGATACAGAAACTGGCAAGAGAGAAACTTCAAGTTACTTTCAAAGGCTATCCCATCAGGTTAACATCTGTCCTGTCATCAGAAACAATGCAAGCAAGAGAAGAATGGGAAATTAAATTCAAAGTGTTAAGTGAAAGACAATTTCAACCAAGAATATCGTACCCAGCAAGACTATCATTCATATGGAAAGAAAAGACAAAAACATTCTCAGATAAACAAAACCTGAAAGAATTTACCAACACCAGACCAGCTCTCCAAGCAGTTTTTTTTCTTTCTTTTTTTTTTTTTGGAGGGATTTTTTTGGGGGGAGAGATTTTCACTATAGGGCATGTGTGCTCGCCAGACAGACAGAGAGAGACAGAGAGACAGAAAGTGAGAAATCCCCCCCCAGAGGGGATGGTCACGCCCCAATCCCTTCTCCTCCATTCTCCTCTCGGGATCTTGGGCATGCACGCACACACGCCCGGTGTGAGGTTTAAGTCCCCGGGTCCGGGACGCAAACCACGATTGACTACGTGGGAGTCCAGCGACATAGCCATTACACTAACTGCTGGTCCCTCTCCAAGAAGTTTTGAAGAGAGTGCTATTCCAGGAAAACTAAAGTTGGACACACAGAAATAAGAGTACAAAAAACAGCCAAGAAAATGGCCAACCTAATGGTAGGGACAAAATATAAATAGTTGAATGTTAACTTCCAGGATTTAAATGGAAAGATCAGACCACAGTAACACTGCATATTCAACAGAAGAGAGATTAAGTACGAGACTAAACTGGTGAAATAGAATTCTATGGCCTTGGACTAAAACATTGCTGATTTTCTTCTACTCTTTGTCTTCTGGATTTAAAGATTTTTGTTTTCTTTTGAGTTGTTGATAGGTTCAGCAATTTGTTAACTTTTTTTTAATTGAAACATAAAAATTTTCACCCTTCCTGACCCTCTGCAATTGGAAGTAAAATTAAAAAACAAAACAAAGCAAAACAAAAAAACTCACCAGAGGGACAGAGACAGACAGAAGCAAGAGAAATCACCCGCTGGGTGATGGCCACACCGCAATCCCTTCTCCATTCTTCTGTCAGGATCTTGGGCAGATTTCCTCTCTCTGGGATTTTTTGTTCTTTTCTGCAGCTCGTAATTCCTTCTGAAATCATTTAAGCCTGAACAAAAAATGGTCTCATTTTTCTTACAGTTTTGGTATGCTGTTAAAGAATTTTCTCAGTTTTAGTTTGTCTTTACTTTTGAAAGATATTTTCACGAGGATGGAACTGCAGCCTGGCATTTCTCTCATGAGCCCTTCAAAAATGTTATTCTATTGTCTTTGTCACATAGTCTTACTGAAACATTAGCTGTAAGTCTTAATAAACTACTACCAAATATGGCCAAGGAAAAAAGAAGAAAATGTAATTTGCTAACATGAGGAATGGAATTTCTTTTCTTTTTCTTTTCTTTTTTTCTTTTTCTTTTTCTTTTTTTTTTTTTTTTTTGAGAGATTTCTTTTTTTTTTTTTTTTTTTGAGAGGTTTTTGCTATAGAGTGTGTGCATGCACCAGAAAGACACAGAGAGACAGAGACAAAAAGTGAGAAATCACCCCCAGGGGGGATGGCCATGCCGCAATCCCTTCTCCTCTATTCTCCTCTTGGGATCTTGGGCATGCACGCATGCGCGCCCGTTGTGAGTTTAAGCCACCGGGTCTGGGACTTGAATCATGGTCGACTACATGGGAGTCCAGTGATGTAGCCATTACACCATCTGCTCGTCCCTAGGAATGGAATTTCTTTGAACACTACAGAAATCAAAGAAATTAAAAAGATAATGAGAGGTTATACCGAACAACATTACACCAATAACTTTGGCAACTAAGAAGAAATGGACAAAATCTTTGAAAGACACAGTGTTTAGAAACAGACTGAAAAAGATAGCAGAAGTTTTGAATAATTTATATTTGTTAAAGAAATTAAATAAGTGATTTAAAAACTTTTCTATGGGTCCAGCAGATGGTGTGTTGGTTATGTTGCTGGACTTCCACATAGTTTGAATTCTGGACTTGATGGCTTAAAAGTCATGGAGACACGTGTGCGTGCGTGCCCAAGATCCCGAGAGGAGAATGGAGGAGAAGGGATTGCGGCATGGCCATCCCCCCTGGGGGGTGATTTCTCGCTTTCTGTCTCTCTGTGTCTCTGGCAAGCATAGACACCCTATAGCAAAAATCTCTCAAAAACAAAAACAATTCCCACAAAAAAACCCTGCAAGCCTATAATGGTTTCACTGACACCTTTGAAAAATAGTAATAAAAATCAATACAAATGATATGCACATGCTTTCAAGTAATGGAGAAGGAGAGAATACTTTTCTGTTGTTTTATGAACAAGAAGAAAGCCTGATATAAATACTTGAGGAGCCAACAGATGACATGGTGGTTAAGGCACTGGACTCCCACATGGCTGAACATGGTTCAAGTCCTGGACCTCTCAAAAAAAAAAAAAAAAGAAAAAGAAAAAGAAAACAAGAAAAAGAGAAAATCATGCTGGGGCCCATCAAGTGGTACAACGATTAAGGTGCTGAACTTCCACGTGGTTGACTGCAGTTTAAGTCCTGGACCCAGTGACTTGAAACTCACGCCAAGCATGTGTGCATGTGGGCCCAGAATCCTGAGAGGAGGATGGAGCAGAAGGGACTGTGGTGCGGCTATGCCCCTGGGGAGTTTTCTGCTTCTGCTTCTCCGTCTCTTTCTCTCTCTCTCCAGTGAGTCCATGAACCCTGTTGCAAAAATCTCTCCTGCCGAGAGAGAGAGGAAAAGAAAACCCCTCTGGGCGTGTGTGTGTCCTGAAATTCCAAGAGGAGAGTGGAGGCGAGGGGATCGCAGTCTGAGCATTCCCACTGGGGTGACCCCCCACTTTCCCTCTCTAGCGAGCACACATGCTCTATGGCTAAAACCAAAAAAAACAAAAACGAAAAAAAGAAGGAAGGAAGGAAACATTGAAGTATATATCTTCATGATCGCGAAGGCAAACACTTCTTAAACAGTTAACTGAAAGCATTAATCACAGAAAACACTGATAAATTGCACCATATTAAGAACTTGGTTCAGAAAAAAATAAAATAAAACCACGCAAAAGAAAATTAACCGACAAGCCTCATGTTGGAAGGGTATGGTTATGATAGGTTTCCTGTCGACAAACTGTAAAGAACCACAGCAGATTAAAAGCCAAAGAAAAACAACGAATTGAAAATATTCAAAAGACGTGAGCAGGCACAGAAGACATCCACACGCTGACAGCTGAGCAGGTCGTCCAGCGCAACCTCGCGTCCTCTGCTGGGCTTCTGGTGCCCGCCAGCCTCCCAGGTTCTCCCTGTGCACAGAGTCGGCACCACCGCCGTGTGCACCACCACCTGCAGAGTCTCAGGTGCTGTCGTCCCTGCCCAAAGGCTGCGTCACCCATAGGACCCGGGCTTGGGTTTCCTGAGAGAGACAGTCAGGACCCGAGTTGCAAACCACTTCCTTTTGTCCCATGGCATGGGAGCACCTGTGGCACGAGGAGTGTGCCAGTCCAATGTCGTGGGCAACTTGGGCAATGGCCAGCATGGTGGATGCTGTGGGTGGCCTGCCCTGTCTACACCACGACCGTCCAGTCTTTCTCTGCAGGCAAGAATGAGCAGTGACGGAGACCAGCAGGCTGGCCACACCCTCTGCAAGTCTCACCACTGTCTGAGCTGGGCACACGCGGTGTTTGCTGCCTTGGCACCACAGGGCCAAGGGAGCGTGGCCCACCTACTGTCGGCCGCACTGGCCAGGCACGGCCCTTCCCACGCCACTGCTGCTCCCTGCACCGGCAGGCCAGTCACTATCCAGGACCACTGGCCCCCGCCACACTTGCAGTAGGGGAGAGGGTTTCCATGTACCCCGCTACCCGGTGTGCCTGGAACCAAGTGCCGCAAGTCCCCGGGACCTTTGCTCTTCCTGTGTCGTTAGCCTGAGTCTTGGCAGGCGGCCCGAGGACCTGGCCACATGTCCCCTTGTTGCAGCCCTCCAGCCAGTCACGTGCCGGCATCTTCCCTGTTGTGCCAGGTCTGCCAGGGTCTGCCAGGGCCTGGAGGCGGCTGCAGGGGCTGAGTAGGTGGTGGCCCCACGCTCTGAACGCCCCCCCCCCTCGGGCGGCCCGCTGTGCTACAGCTGAAGAGCCGCAGCAGTCTTTCGTCCTGATCACAGTGCTGGGTGGGGTCAGACTGACAGGCACAGGGCAGGAGCTGGCAGCTGACCCGGGCACAGGCAGAGCAGTCCAGCACTCTGCCCTCCTTCGTGAGCTCCTTGCCCTAGGTGGTGCTTCCTCCAGGGACCCGCCTTGTCTCTCAGGGGATTTTACACAGCCCCAGGCACGCTCCTGGGGCGTCATGCCAATCCAGACCCACAAATTGGGGTCCCCATTGTCTGAACTCAGCCTCAGCCAGAAGACGCATGGCTCGGTTGGCAAGATGTCCTGGGCCCGCCCCAGCCCCTTCCTACCAGGTGACCACTGTGTTGCTGGGACCGCCCTCCCTGAGTCTCGCACAATTTCTGGGTCTTGCTTTGCAGTGGCGACGCGTTTATCTCCAATTCAAGGAGTCATTTTTCGCAGTGCCAGGCTCTGCTGGACAAGATCATGTCTGTGAGCCCTCAGGTGGAGATCGACGGGCTTCGGAACATCTGGATCGTAAAGCCTGCAGCCAAGTCCCGCGGCCGAGGTGTGTTCCTCTGCGTGGGTGCGTCCATGTTGTGAGAACACAGCCCTGGACAGCCACCTGCCCAGTCTTAGCCCTGCGAGCGAGGTGCAGTCCTGGGGGTGGAAGGAGGGAGCTGAGCACCAGCTGGTGGGGTAAGGCGGTGCTGGGGTTTGGGCAGCTGAGTGTTTGCAGAGAAGGTGTCTTAGTGCTCGTGTTCTGATCACGGTGCTGGATTTGGGTTTGCTGGTTAATTCGGGTTTCCTCCCTTGTGTTCGTAAGTTAAACTATCTCTGCTCTTTAAAAAAATACATTATTATTGCCTTGACTGATCTTGGCAAGAAGCTTATTCCGGCCTCTGGAATGACAGAGAATTTTCATCTCAAACAACAATGGAATCTCTCTGCCTTGGATTTATTAAAACTTTGGGGAAAAAAACAACTCACCTGGAAATCTAAGTTCCCCCTCAGTGGTAGATCCTTAACACTTTTAAAATAGTTTCTTTGGTTCCTGATCTGTTCAGGTTTTCTTCCGCATCTTCAATTGCAACTGTGACTACATTCTCTTTTACTCCTAATGGTGAGCACTGTATGTTCTTATTTATTTATTTATTTTGGAGAGGTTTTTGCTATAGGGTGTGTGCGCTCACCAGAAAGACAGAGAGAGACAGACAGAAAGAGAGAAATCACCCCCCAGGGGGAATGGCCACGCCACAATCCCTTCTCCTCCATTCTTCTCTTGGCATCTTGGGCACGCACGCACGACGCACGCACAAACGCCCAGTGTGAGTTTAAGCCACCAGGGCTGGAACTCGAACTGCGGTCGACTACGTGGGAGTCCAGAGACATAGCCATTATGCTAACTGCTGGTCCCAGCACTGTATGTTCTAATTAAAAAAAAAGAAAAGAAAAGAAAGAGAAAGAGAGAGGAAAAAAAACAGGGCTTTGAGGTGGTTTTATCATCTTAAACGTTTCTAATCAACTTCTGTTTGCATTTTTCACTCTTACTATGAGGGATTTTATTCCCCATTAGCTGTGACTTAGATGCTAAATTCATTTACTTCCCATTTTTGTAGTGCAATAATGAAAGCTTTAAAGCTATGAAAATTCCTCTGAATATGGCCTTAGCTGCATCCTCTTATTTAAGTTACATAATGTTCTCATTTCCTCTATTATCTAAATAGGCTTTACTTTTAGTTTAAATATTCTATTTGCCTCAAGTTATTTTGAAGAGTTTTGTTGTTTTTATAAAAAATTTACAAGTGACTAATTTGTTTGATTTTAAAAATTTATATATATGTGTGTGTGTGTGTGTGTGTGTGTGTATATATATTAACTAATTCATGATTTATTGCATTTAGTCCTAAACAGCTTCTATCTATCCTAAAACATTCTCTTTCCTGGGGAGGCATAGCCCACAAACCCCTGGTGTCCTGCAGACTTTCAGGACTGCTGAATGCTCTCCCTGAGCACCCACCTGCCTGATCCTGTATGGCATGCTCCTCCTCTAGTTCATCCTGAGCGTGCTTCTCTTTCCGAGCAGCATCAATCTCCTCCTGTCCATCAGGCCAGACCTTCCTCCCATGTACTCTCCTGCATCTCCAGGAATACTCCTAGGACCCCTCACACCCACCTGTTCAAAGCCAGATGCCCCCTCTCCCTGGCTGTGCCCTTTCCTGCTCTGGGCTGGCCTACACGTGTCAGCCCCTTCTAGCTTCCACGGCTCATTGCTGTCCTAAGCCTCTGATGGTTCAGAATGGCAAGGTCTTGACGGATGGCAGCTGAAGACACAAAGGGCTTGTGATTTTGTCAGCTGTGCTCGCCTTGCGTCGTGTTCTGCTCTGGGCCTCTGTAGACCATCCATCCTTCCTGTGTCCGTCAGAACGGATCAGATGGTGCAGTGTAACAGTACCCACAACCTCAGCAGCTCTCAGCTCTCTGCCTCTCATGCAGCTTGTGATCCACTGTGGGCTGGCATGGGCAAGCGGCAGGCAGGCTGTGCTCACCCAAGCCCTCAGCCTGGGACCCCTCTCTCTCGGTGCCTGAGGGCTGTCAGAGGAGTGGGCTGCCACGCACTTCTGCTGGCCACCACTCACCCTATGGCCTAATGGGGGGAGGGGAGAAACTAGGGCATCTGCACAAGAGGACGACATGATCGCCCCTGCCCTCTCTACCTGTCCAGGCAAGCTGGAGTTGCAGCTGTCACTGGACTCCCAGGTCCCTTGATGCCCACACCTCGGAGCCCCCAGAGGACCCTGCGGCCCCTGGCCAGGCTCTGCTCTGAGGCCCGTGCAGCAGCCCCTGCTCCTTCATTGCCAGCACGTCAGAGTGTGCCCTGGCTGGAGCTCAGCAGGGCTGCTGTCTGCCTTTTAGTTGCTTCTCTGTCCCCATCCTGTTCCCTGGTCTCTGCACCCTCTCTGGAGTCCTGGGGCTGACCCTGTGGTAGAGAGCCCAGGGGCACCTGTGAGGGCTGCGGCCTCTTCCACTGCCCAGCCCTGCCGTGCCAGCTCCTGGCCAGTCCAGGCTGTGCTTGCCCGCCCAGGCTGCAGGCCAGGCCGACGGTGGCAGTGGTGCGGGCTGAGCAGGGTGTCTCACAGACATAGTGTGCATGGACCGCGTGGATCAGATCCTGGAGCGGGTGTCCCCGGAGGAGCCCTCCGCCAAAGACAAGTGGGTGGTGCAGAAGTACATCGAGACTCCCATGCTCATCTACGACACCAAGTTCGACATCCGCCAGTGGTTCCTGGTCACCGACTGGAACCCGCTGACCGTCTGGTTCTACAAGGAGAGCTACCTGCGCTTCTGCACGCGGCGCTTCTCCCTGGACGACCTGGGCAGGTCAGCAGGGCATGGGTGCTGCACCGTGGCATGGGCGGGCACTGGGCTGTTGACTGCTGGGCACCCTCCCTGTTGCCCACGTCCACTGAGGCACAGCTGGGAAACCAGCTCAAGGAGGTTCGCAGCCTCCCTCAGAGAAGGCTGGGCATTGGCCTTCAGAACCGGCACCCCGTCCCACGGTGAGGCTTTTTCAGAGACTCTCGAAGGGCACCGTCTGGGTGCCAGGGCAGTGTGAGCAGTGCCCCAGACCTCAGGCTCAGGGCAGGTGCAGACCTGGACACTGGTGGACATCCGGGAATGGGGTGCCTGGGGCAGGTGGACCATGCCTCATCAGGGTCCCAGAATGGGCAGGGCAGGAGCAGCCCTCTGAGAGTCTGCGGAAATATGCCACCACAGGGGCAGTCCCGTCAGCCTGGGTGTGCCAGGGCTTCCGCTGGCTTTTGTAACCATCACTCTGCATTTGTGGCTGGAAGACCTTTGCAAAGCCTCTGAGGGGCTGCTTTGCAGAGGAGTCGGTTGGAATCCAGGGAGGATTGACCTCAGCAGAGGCTTTTGGGGAATTAACTCCACCCAGGCAAGAGGCTGTGGCCACACCTGAGGTCCCAGCTGGCAGGTCATCAGTTGGGTGGGGCCCAGGACCCAGGCTGGAGGCTTTGGCCCTCACGTGCCTGCAGTGGCCCATGGCCGGGTCCAAGAGCTCAGCTAGGTAGAAGGAGCCTCCTGGCAGTGAGAAGTTGGAGCCCCTCCCCATGCCGCACGCAGCCCCCTGCCTCACCAAGCCAGGAGCGACGCACAGCAGCCCACGGCCTTCAGAGGCCTGCATCCCCCAGGAGGACGCTTGCCCTCGGGTTCTGGAGGCCGGATTGTGTGTGAGCGGCAGCTGGGCCACGAGCACAGAGCATGCAGATGCCGGTGTCGGCCTGTCGCCGCCCTGCCCCAGAGCCCCCTCCTCCACACCGTGTGGGAGTCCTGGCAGTCTGCAGAGTGGACGGGGGGCCCATAGGCTGCTTCCAAAGCCACGGCCTGCCGGCAAACGCCTGTGCCACACGCAGTGCTCAGGGCCCCAAGCTGCTGGCTTTCTGTCTTATTTTTAGGTTTTTGCCATAGGGCATGTGCACTTGCTGGAGAGAGACAGAGAGAGACTGCAGCAAATCAGCCCCCCGGGCAGAGGGCCACACCACAGTCCCTTCCCCTCCATCCTCCTGAGACGGGGGGCATGCACGCATGTGCACCGGCAGATTTTCAAGCCACCAGGTCCAGGTCTTGAACTGCAGTCATCCACGTGGGAGTCCAGTGCCTGGACCACCATGCCACCTGTGGGCCCTGATGCACTTCGTTTTGAATCTGGCTCCCACCAGAAAAGAGCGTAAATAAACTAATTGATCCCCTGGTCTCCCCAGTTCGGCCTTCAAAAGGCCGGTGTCCCCGCTGGCTTAGCAGATGGGGAGACTGAGGCTGGGGAAGCTGTCCGAGACTTTGAGGCCAGCCCAGGCCCCCCCATCGCGTAGCCGTGAGCTGGGCGGGGTCCTGGCGGACGACGCTGCGTGCCTTGCAGCGCCGCCCACCTCTGCAACAACTCCGTCCAGAAGCACCTGCGCAACGACCAGGGCCGCAGCCCGCTGCTGCCGGCGCAGACCATGTGGACGAGCGCGCGCTTCCAGGAGTACCTGCAGAAGCGGGGCCGCGGGACCGTGTGGGCCAGCGTCATCTACCCGTCCATGAAGCGGGCCATCGCCAATGCCATGAAGGTGGCCCAGGACCACGTGGAGGCGCGCAAGAACAGCTTCGAGCTCTACGGCGCCGACTTCGTGCTGGGGCGGGACTTCAGGCCCTGGCTGATCGAGATCAATTCCAGCCCCACCATGCACCCGTCCACGCCTGTCACGGCCCAGCTGTGCACGCAGGTGCTGGAGGACACCATCAAGGTGGTGGTGGACCGCAGGCTGGATCGAACCTGCGACATCGGCAGCTTTGAGCTCTTGTGGAGACAGGTGAGCGCCCTGGCCGCGGGTGGTGCAGGTCCCTGTGAGTGGACGCTTCTGCTCCCTGGCCACTGGCCACAGCACAGAGGCGTGAGCCGCCAGTCCATCACCAGGGTCCGGCAGAACTCAGGACGTCTAGGAGGTCCCGGCAGCTCTGGCCACTGCCCAGTGGCCTCCGAGGCCCAGCTTCCCACCCTCTTGTCCCCAGCCTGGCCCTCCTCACGTACTCTGGCTAGCGGTTGAGAGTTCTGCAGCCTGGGTGGGCCGGATGCTCTGCGGGTCCTCCTAGGCTGTTCCCATGGGCTGCGGTACCCTCGGTCCTCTGGGTGTAGACACTGGGTCCTCCTGTGGGCTGCGGCACCCTCAGTCCTCCGGGTGTGGACACTGGGTCCTCCTGTGTGCTGCAATACCCTCAGTCCTCTGGGTGTGGACACTGGGTCCTCCTGTGGGCTGCGGTACCCTCAGTCCTCAGGTGTGGATACTGGGTCCTCCTTTGTGGCCGTCCCAGGGACTTCCACCCCTCGGACACTCCTGGTTGAAATGTCCTCCCTGGGACAGGACACAGTGAGTGGGTGGCTGAGCTGGCGGGAAGCATGGCCAGTGGCCTCTCTGTGGCAGGCAGGACTTGGGGGAGGGCACGGCAGGTCCTGGGTGTGGGGCCAACCCGGCTGGCCCTAGAGCCCTAAGAAGCTCGGTTTCCACAGGCTCTCAGAGGCTAGGGGCCCCGGGGCCTGTGTGGGACCCAGGTGTCCATCCCAGAGTCAGGCCGGCCCCACCCGCCCCTCCCAAGGGCACCCCGTGTCCTGTCAAGGCCCGCGCCCAGCCCCCCTCCCCTCTGCAGCCGGCTGTGGAGCTGCCACCTTTCGGTGGGACAGACCTCTGCGTGGAAGGCGTCAGCGTCAGGAGAGGCAGGAAGCAAATGCCCCCCATCTCCACCCTTGGGTCCTCGGCCGTGCTCCCGGACGTGCAGCCCTTTAAAGTGCTCGACCCCTCGGCCCTGCCAGACTCGGCGCGAGGAGCCGCCCGCGCGGCTGCCCAGACGGACGAGATCCCGCGCTCGGCCTTGCCGGTGCCCCCGAAGAGGCCGGAAGAGAGGGGCTGCAAGCCGAATCCTGCCCGCTCGGAGGCCGGCGGGAGGGCCGAGCTTCCTGTTTGCCAGTGCCAGCACGCGGGCAGGACGGCCCCGAAACCCAGCCCCGCCAAGGCCCACGGTGCTGACCGCCCGGAGGCTGACGCGTTCCGTGTGCACGCCCTGGCACCTGTGCCCCCGACCAGGGCAGCGGAGGGCGTCCCGAGTCAGCCGCTGGGAGCGTCAGGTAACGCCAGTGCCCGCGCATGGGGGCCGGCCTCCCGCTGGGGCTGCCTCCCCACTTTGGCCTTTCAGGGAGAGCCACTGTGCCCTCTGGAACCGGCACGGGGAGGGCTCGGGTCCTGGGTGGGAGCACACGCTTCTGCCCAGCCCAGGCACTGGGTCTGGTGAGTGCTGGCCTGGGTGGGCTGGCCGTGGGGAGTCGGGGTCACGGCGCCCTCTGCAGGCAGGTAGTGCTGCTTTGTCTTGCTCAGAAAGTGTGGACAGAGGGACCAGCAGTTAGCAGTTAGCATAATGGCTATGTTGCTGGACTCGCATGCAGTTGACCACAGTTTGAGTCCCACAGTTTGAACTCACACCAGGTGGGTGTGCATGCATGCTCAAGATCCCAAGAGGAGAATGGAGGAGAAGGGATTGCGGTGTGGCCATCCCCCTGGGGGGGGTGATATCTCACTTTCTGTCTCTCTGTCTCTGTCTGTCTGGCGAGTGCACACGCCCTATAGCAAAAACCTCTCCCCCCCCCCCCCCCCCAAAAAAAAAAGGTGTGGACAGAGCTGCCATGCACAGCACAGGGAGCCAGAGTGGTCGAGGCATGCCAGAACCCACAGTGCCTGGCACGGCAGCGGCCCGAGGAGACTGGCAGGGATACCCAGGCCCACCCCAGTGCACTTGCCTTTCAGGCCACCAGAACCTCCTCTCCTGGCCGTGACACCCACCACTTCACCCGCCGTCTGTCAGTGGCTGTCACCCCCTAGTCTGTAAGCTCGACCCAGCGCATCCTTGCTGCCGGGGCCCAACGCCAGGACCCTGTGTGATGCAGCAGGCACTTGATGCGGGACACACGGCGCATGAGCTGCAGCAGAGGCTCTGGCAGCTGGCCCTCACCAGCCCTGCTCAGTGACACCCCAGCAGCTGTGCGTGACAGGCGCACTGTGGCTGCATCGCAGCGTCAGCCGGAGCGGGCGCGCCTTCCCTGGGGTCTCTGCGTCGTCTACTGTCCTGACGCTACCACACGTTCGCCTCCGTAAAGCAGCCTTCTCCCTCTTTTCTGCGGATATGTGGAGTGCGAACAGCACTTATATATTAGCTTTCTAAATGGACACATTTCTAAATATGTCACCTCGAACAATTCGTATATTGTTTTACATTTTCCATGCAACTATTCCGTCATGCGCAGATAGTTTTGCGTCTCCCATTCCAGTCTCGCTGCCTCTAACGTCTCGTACTGGCCGCGTTCTAGGCAGGGTCAGCCTCGCCTGACGCCTGGCCCTGTCACTTCTCCTGGCTAACGAGATTTGCTCAAGGTCTTTAGAAGGACCTAGTTTAGGTAAGGCATGAGTCCAGAGACAACTATGGGCACGCTGGCCTGTTAAAGAGGTTTCTTTCCAATCCTTACAGAGTTCTTATCACGAATGTGTATTACATTTTCTCCGGAACTTCTTCCGCAGCTATGAGGTTATAAGCTTTCTCTTGCTTCTGTTTGAGGGGTGACTGGCGGGGGTTCATCTTCCGAATGGTAAAGTGACCTGGCAAGCAGGAGCAAGCCCGTCGTGGCTGGCCGTCACGTTCCAGACAGGGCTGGCTTTGGTTTGTTGCCCGTGGTCAGGGTCTGTCCTCGTCGCACTTGGCAGAGTTCTGTGCTGCTCCGGTGATGCGGCGTGGGCTCTGGGGTGCGTGTGCAGGCTTTTCCACAGGGATGGATTGCCGGGCTCCCAGTGGGCCCTGCTGTGTGGACGCACTAGAGCCAGCTTGTGGCCCCCGTGGTGCCACATATGCTGGTGTGCCACACGCTGGCCCGTCCTGGGAGGCTTTCTTCTCAGTGTGGCCATCCCAGCGGCCCCGCCGTGCTGACAGGTGAGCGGCACACACTTCCTGACCCCCACCACCGGGCACACCCCTGTGAAGCGCTGTCTTTGGTTTTGGACAGACTTTCCTGTTGACTTGTCCTTGTTGACTGGGCGTCCCTTCCTTCCTCTGACCACACGTCCTTTGGCGGGTGTACACAGGTGTCTCCTCCCCCCTCACTCTCCTCATAATGTTTTTTTGGGGGAGTGGCAGTTTGCTATAGGGCACGTGCGCTCCCCCGAAAGAGAGAGACAGAGAGACAGAAAGTAAGAAATCTCCCCTCAGGGGGATGGCCATGCCGTAATCCCTTCTCCTCCGTTCTCCTCTCGGGATCTTGGGCACGCACGCACACGTGCCTGGCGTGAGTTTAAGCCATTGGGTCCGGGACGCGAACTGCAGTCAACTACATAGGAGTCCAGCGAAATAGTCATTACACCAACTGCTGGTCCCCATAATATGTTTTAATACATAGAAATTATTCATTTCAATATACTCCAATATTTACTTTTAATTTTTATGATTTTTTAAAAAAATTCTCTACAGAGCACGTGTGCTCACCAGAGAGAGACAGAGAGGAAGAGAGAGGGGTAGAGAGGGAGAGTGAGACAGCGCCCTGGGAGGTGAGCACCATGTAATCCCTTCCCCTCTGTTCTGGGGGATGGGGCACACACACACACACACACACACACACACACACAGTGTGTTTTTCAAGCTGCTGGATCCAGGACTTGAACCGTGCAGTTGGCCATGCGGGATCCAGCCATCTCAACCACCATGCCACTGACTGACTCCAGATTCATTCTCGTTTTCTATGGATATTCGACTGACTAAGGGGCTGTTTCTCTAGCACGGGGCACTGTTATCATAAAACTGGCGACTATCTATGTGGTCCTGTTCCAAGGCTCTCCTCTGTCCCGACCGCCTGTTTCTTCGTCAGCTTTTTGCAGCAATAACGCTGCATAGCATAGACCCCAACCTCAGTGGCTTACCACAGAGCGCGTCTCTGCTGCGCGGGCTCAGCCCTGCTCGTGCCTGCTCTGGGACAGTGGCTCCTGGGGCTCTCCTTCAGGTGACAGGTGACAGGCCACAGGAGGGGTGGTGAGCCACATGTGCCACATCACACACCCACTGGAAGGACAAAGCAGAGGGGAGGAGGGCCGGCCACGTCCTGTGCGTTGGTGCACGCACAGCCCTACACCAGCAGTCCCACTAACCTTCGTAATGCGGCCCCCGCCCCCCGCCCCCCACGACCTCCCGTCACAGTGCGGGCTCCAAGTCCAGGGCCCGAGTCCCATGTTCATGCCGGCCTCTGGAGAGCCGTGAGCTGAAAGGCAGGTGTCCAGACCCCTCCTGAGCTGTTAGCATGGTCCGGGACGAGGTGGGCGTGACGCTGGCAGAGACGCTAGACGCCTGGGTCTGAGACAAGGTCTCTGTCACGTCGGCAGACATGCGGCCCAGGTGCAGCACATCGGGGTCTGCCCAGGGGTCATACACACTCTGGGGTGGATGTGAGTGCTGAGCCCTGAAGGGCAGAGGAGCCTGCTCCCTCAGGGTCGCGCTTGGCCACCGTGACCGAGAAATGGCCAGGCGCAGGGCAGGCAGACCCAGTAACATCGGCACACCCAGCAAAAGGTATTTTGTGCAGAGGAGGCCGAGGGGGAGTGTCCGGGTGCCAGTCCCCCCAGCCTCAGGGTGCATGCCACCATCAGGGCCCACCGCCCCAGCTCTGGCCTTGACCCTGCCCGCCAAGGCCATGGACCTGGCCGTGGGCAAGGCAGGGGGCCGGCAGGCGTGGCAGGCCCTGCGGTGTGAGTCACACAGAAGTGTGAGTGCCAGTTAGGACAGCAGACAGGTCGAGGGCACCCCTCCAGGGGACCACCTGGCCCTGGCCCTGCTGAGACTCTGTAGGACCCATTACTGGACCAGCCCTGCTACCCCTTACCACATGGCCACGTGGGTAACCAGGTGCTCTGTGACTGTGGCCGGCCTTCAGGGTCCCTCCACACATGGCCACAGAGCCAGCCCCTCCTTTTTGCCCTCCCCGCTCACACCCAGACCTCCACCTGCAGCCATCGGTGTGAGTGGACAAGGGTCCTGGTGGACTCATGCATGTTGGTGCTGGCACTGCCTCAAGGCCACGCTGTCCGGCAAGAGGACCCGGGGTGGGCTAGAGTTCAGTCTGAGTCCTGAGGGCCCCAGAGTGGCCAGGAGGGCCCAGCAACTGGGCTGTCCTGGGGTGCGTGGGTGAGGAGGTAAGCTCTGGCCCGGAGTGGCTCAGTTTCGTTAAGTCACATCCCCGTCTCTGACCTTTTCACAGGGGCAGCCCGGAGGGGGCGGAGCTCTCAGGAGACCTTCCAGCAGGGAGGCCTGCTGCTCTGGACACTGCCAGGTGCCAGCTGTGGCCACAGCTCAGTGGCCATGTGACAAAGGTGCCACCCAGACTGTGGGCCAGGAATTGCAAACCAGAAATGATTCTATGCTTTTAAGGGGTTGGAAAACCTCACAGGGACAGAGACACTTGTCCTCCATGTAGAGCCGAGGCGTCCACGCTCTGGCCACTGGTTGGGACGCTCCCACGGCTTGGACGTGGGCCGTTGGGCTGGGGCCACAGCTTCACATCAGGAGCCTCCCCCCTGGCAGGGCCACGGCACACAGCTACCCTGTCAGGCTCTGAGGCGGCCTCGGGACGCAGTGCCGGCACCAGCTTCCGCTCCGAGTGCAGTCCTCTGCGAGCCTGTCCGCTCCCTGTGCTCTGCGAGCCGGCTCCTCTCCCTGAGCACAGTCCTTGCAAGTCGGCTCCTGCCTGTGATAGCCAGTCAGGTGGCCCTGGGCAGCTTGGTCTCTCAGAAGAGGACAGGGTATACCCTGTCCTTTGTGGGCATCTGCCGTGACCAAGAGGCTCTGGAGCCTGAGCTCTGGGGCAGGGGCTAGGGAAAGTTTCCCAACGGGTTTGCTGCTGTCTCACGTAAGACATGGCCCTGGAGCCAGCCCCGTGAGGAGTGTCAAGAGGCCAGGGCTTTTATGGGCAGTCTCTGCAGTCTCATCGTGAACAAGTGGTGTGACCGTGTGTCATCCTGTCGGGGCCAGTGTCACTATTGTGACCATTTGGTCATTGACATCATGCTGTGATAGACAGCTGTCCCAGGGTGGGATACCTTATCC